TGCAAGACATCCGCGGTTCACATAACTGAGGTAATGTACAGAAATATAACCGGAACCACGAAAAGCGCAAAAGCTATCAAATTCGCGTGCAGTGACGCAGTTCCTTGCAGCCACATTGTCCTCAACAATGTCAATTTGGAAGGCAATGATGGGAAAGTTGAAGCATATTGTAATTCAGCTGAAGGGTTTGGTTATGGAGTTGTTCATCCATCTGCAGATTGTCTCGATTCGCATGACAACAAGAGCTTAGACCAAACTGATAAGTATTTGGCAGAAGAAACTGTTATGCTCGGAGATGAAACTGAAAATGTTCATGACGAGCTTTAAGGTGATTTGATTTTGACGGTCGTTGTAGTGAGGGATGTACACACGTAATATGTAGTTGTAATTCACCTTAGCAACTGACCTATTATATAGCTTGTAAATTAAGCAAATACAATGAGATTGACAAGCATTGTAGTATCATACAGTAAAGAAATTAATTTTAAACGTAAAGAATGTTAATCTACATGTAAACCAAAAGAAGCAGGATAACAAATTCCTTGTGCTTGAAGTTTGGATGTGTTAGAAAAATAAGGGCTTTTCTCATATACTTTTAAGCCAAGCCAATAAAATCTCCCTTAACTAGTCTGCTTATAAATCCAAACCATGTATGATCTCATGACCTAAACTCTATACAAAGCTAAAAACTTAACTTGGCGTTTTTTTGAAGCATAAGATGAATAAGCCATTCACTGTTTCCTGTTGGGTTAATTGTAACTTCTTATGGAGATGTGCACAGGGAGATTGACATTCTTGGGAAGCTTGAGAGCCACGAAGTACCATAAGATGATGATATGACGCTCTTTGATTTCTCGTGTTTTACAAGACAAAATTTTCAGAGGAAGCTATAGATGATATGGATGAAGAATTGAAGCAAGAAATACAAGAAGAGGAAAAGTAAACCGAAATGCCTTTTGCCGAACGGAATGAAAATGTTCTTGTCCCGGATTATAAAGCAGAGAAAAATGTTCTCGTCCCAAGAGAACATGCATACAAGGTCCTCATGTTTCCAACGACCCATGTTTCTAGAATCGAAAATTTCTACAATCGAAGATCTAATTCATAGAACTAAAACCCAAAAAAATGAAACGCGAAATGAAATGTTGATTTCTTTACCATAATCGAAAAATGGAAGCTATCGAAAATCCAAGTTTCGATCGCCATCGGGATCCGTCGCCGTTCACTGGAGATGATGAACCCTAGATTTTGGGGGAAAAATTAGTTTACGGTTTCACTTAGAACTTACTTCTTTAAATATTTGAAAATTAAAAAAAAAACAAAAATATACAGTTTTTAATCATGTGCGCCGTTAATAGGTCTAACCCAATCAAAGAATGCCACCTAATTAGGACATGTGCGCCGTCATTTAACTCATAGTTTTACCCCAGTTTTTTTAGTTGTGCATATTTGTTAATAGTTGTACTTTTGGTGATTTAGCTAATATTTAGTTTTACCATACTATTAAAACAAATTTGTAGTTGTACAACTTATTTTTGGAAATAGAAACACATTTATTTAGTTACCATGTTAAAATATGTTGAATATCACATTTCCTGTCAGTATTTGCATCATAAGGTATACAACACTATCAAACTATACTTTAAAGTGTAATGTGATTCATGGAATATTGTGAAAATGATATTGGAGATATCGTTTGAATTCACTTATATTTGGAAAATTAAATTTTTAGATAAATAACATAATAGTTGACAAAAAAAAACATAATTATTCTGATGTTTGAAATTAAATTAAATTATTTGTTTTTTTTAATTACTTAAGAATTTTAGATAAATAACATAATTATTTTTATATTTGAAATTAAATTTAATTATTTGTATTTTTTTAATTACTTAAGAATTTTAGATAAATAACATCATTATTCTTATGTTTGAAATTAAATTTAATTATTTGTATTTTCTTAATTACTTTAGAATTGTAGATAAATAACATAATTATTCTTATATACTTGTTTAAATATGTATATATTTTTTTAAATTAATTAAACATTCTATTACAATTTGATGACAAATTCAAACACAATTCGAATGTTGTACAATAATAATCACAATTCAAACACAACTCAAACAACGAAATAGTAACACTTCTTAGTTGTACAAATACAATAACCAGTAGTACGTAGTAGTACAAACAGATTGTAACAATGAAAATTCTCGAATCAAGCTCAATCACCCCCACCAGTTGGGACACCTCCTTCACCACCACTTGGGTTCTCAATGTCAGTAATTTCAAGCGCCTTCTTCTTCTTTGGTCGT